CTTTTTATTAATGATTTTTTTGCTTGTGATAGTACATCAGTATTCAATAAAAAGTGATGTGGTATCTACAAAAATTTTGTACAAATACCAGTTTTGAAAGGATTAAGAATGAAGTCAGCAATTTCATGACCCTTTTTGTAAACACTGCCCTCAGATTTGTTTGCGATCAATGCAACACATTACAGGAATTCAGAATATTTTTTATTAGTTTTTATAGTGACTATGAAGCCTGCTTCTTCATGCTGTTGAATACTTGTCAAACTTGGTAATATCTTCTGTGATATATGTAAATGATCTGGGAAATTTTGTTCATTGAAGCGTGTGGTTGTGCACGGAAGTACTTGTATTGTTATGATGTTGTTATCTCAACATTCAAAATGAATGGAAATAAACTGGAATAACTGTAAATGATCCTCTTTATTAAGAACCCATTATTCACAGCAGAATCACTAGCAGTTTAGAAGACAGTTGATTTGTTTCTGGCAACATAATTTGGTTTATTTTAAATGGAATACACTTGGGTACATTCATACCTCCTCTCAACAAACATTTTCTTTTTCCCTTCATAAAAGCTAAATCTTACACTGGCATAGAACAGGAGAAAAGGTGAAGCATCTACGCAAAGTGAGCCCATTTGTTTGACATACTCAGTAAACTTCCTCAAATATGTTCCATCTATAAATCACAGGTGAGATAATTATTACTTAATTTCAGTAAATTAACCCAAAAAAATATTTAAGGCCGGGAACATTGTCCTTTAGAAATCTACCTTAGATTATTCACAAACAATTTCACTACAACCTAGTCAATAATTGGTAACATTGAATCTTATTAACAAATTTGAAATAAAAATCACAGGAAACTATGAACTACTGTGACAGGAATTTGAAATGAAATAGATATTGACTCATTTTGTTCAGCAGGAGTAGAAAAAAATTCCCATAAGAAATGCCAACAAACGTCTTCTTTATGTTGCAATTAATATTGGAGGGATGGGGATGAACAAACAGATGTCACACTACATTGGAGAAGTACGGCTGTGCCACATCATTGGGGTCATTCAAGTTCAAGAAAGTTTTTGTCACAAACTTCACCATGCAAAGTTGATTAGAGCACTCTCATTATATTATAAGGTATGATTTTTGGTGTCCTGTAAACTCAATAATTTCTCACAAACCTTGTGTTAAATTCAGGAAAGGTGTACAAGAGATAGAACTCACTATTTTAACTTGCTTTTCATCAACCATGCTAGAGTAATTATTGTTGAAATCCCTTTCATAAAGATTGTCTTTACATTTCTTAGAATCTAATGGATGTTTGGAAGTTATTTATTATGGCTTTAGAGGAAATCCGTAACGAAACAGATTTAAATACATCAAAACAAGCACTACGAAACTGTTATTCTGTGCTAGCAAGATAAAACAGGTAAACACGCAATCACTTCTCTGAGCCATGCAATATGAACCAATGACATGGAATATAAAGGCAGTAAATAATGATTTCAAAAGTCATATTTTTCATCCAACCTACACCAAATCTTATGCTTTTGTTTTGTTTTTTAATAAATGCTCTCTAATGTTTGAAAATAAATGGCTAATAATTACCATACTGTTAATGTTTCACAAAAATACAAAACGTTGGAGTTAAAATAGTTAATTTTGCTGTGTACTGCTCCGCATGTGAGCAATAGCTCTACATCTAATATGGAAACATCCTTTCATGAAAATGATTTAAAATTACAATACACAATATTTATGCTTTCATTGTTTGCAAACAACACATCTACCCAGCCAGAAATCTGTGTTGCAACCGACATCAATTCAACGTCGGTCAATATTGACTCGATCACTGATTTCTGGCTGGGTATGTGTTACCAATGCAAATGGAAAAGGCCGTGTGACACTTAGTCGGACAAGAAATGTTTAATGTACAATTTGAACAAGGGCTCTCAACAAACTGCCCAAAGCTGTACTTCAATTATTGCTCATTTCTTAAGACTGCGGAAGAGCAAGAATAAAAAGGCTAGAGTAATTTAAATCAAAAATCTGATAATAATTTCCATTCATATACAGTAATAGATCTTTAGCAACTCATAAACATCAAACAGCTGCATAAAAATAGTAGTTTACCTTAAAATAGTAAAAACAGGGAATTGCCTAAAGGGCCAGCTTAAAAATAGAACAATCAATAAATGACAAAATGTTCCTAGTAATTCTAATATGACAATTACTTTGTCCAAACTATACTTTTAAGCGTATCATCACCTCACCAAATTAACAAAACAAAAAATAATTTCACAAGCCCACTTATTTGAGAATATAAGGGTAGATGTAAAATCATGTCATGTTATTTCAATTGATAACAAATTTAAAGCCTGGAGCCTTCCCCCTTTAGGTTGAACTTTTAACAAAACTAATGATTTCATATATTTAGCTTCTTTAACTAAACAATAATGGATGGCACAATAATATTTATACTTAACCAATTAAGGCTACAATAGTAGAATTAGTAAGTCAGCCACCATAAATCCAAAGCAACAATATGATCACAAGGCTGATCATAGTTTCCAAAGCAAAAGCGCGAAGAAAGTAGCAACAGTAGAAAAATATTCTTAGCAGGCATATATTTTCTAGTTTCAGTTAAATTAATTACTTAATGCTCAAGAGCCATCACTTCACAGGACACAAGTAGAGGTAATAATGAGAAGTACCTAAATTTATTATGATGAGGCAGTTTATACATCTGTTTGCAAAAAAATAATGCTTAATCCATGTTTTTTTGTTGGTTTGCTTTTAACGTGATGGAAACTTCAGGTAAAGTTAATGTAGGGGGCAGTTGACAATTCTGAAAAATGCCAGTAAAGAAATGTATGAACCTATTAAGTAATCTTATACACACAAGAATTTTGAAAACACAAGCTCACTTAAAGAATAAACACATGAAACTCTTGGGCGGATAAGTTCAAGTACACTCTGAAAAATTAAAACATAGACAATATACATTTCTATGAATGAACCCTGTACAACATTCAATTAAAATAATGGTAACATTGGTTTTTAGAACAAAGTACTTCGAGCAATTTCCACTTTTTACGAAGAATATGCCTTAGAAAGGTACCAACTCTTGCAAATAAGACTGCTTAAACCTACACATAATACAATCATTAAGATATTTTTTAACTAGCTACAACAATTACAGTATCAAACTCTCAGTGTTTGAAAGGAGGACGTGTACAGGAGTTAGGCTGACTTGATTTTATGGGTATGGGGGGAAAGGATGAGATTTATGGTTAGCAATGAACAAACACAGCCTTTTGGTTTGAAACAAAAATATGTAATACATATGCACATATGTAGCCACATTCACTTAATATTTTATCACCAGTATGCTTGTAAGTACTATAAATGGAAATGCTGCAGTCTCACAAAAGATGGGATTCTAGATTTGCAAACAAACAGTAGATTCGCATCTCCATTGAATTAAATAAGCACACTCTGTAACAGTTCAGTAATTTGCAAAGGAGGCAACATAATACAGACAAAATATGAACATTATATACATTTTCATACTAATTCTACAAACCTTACAGTAAAACATGATATGTGTAATTCAGCAAGAAAGCTTCTGAAGGTCTTTTACTGTAACATCTATCAAATGAAGACATAAAGTTAGTTTTATTTTTTCCCAATGACACTCAAAATGTATGTACACTTAAAATGCTATAAGAGTTCTTGAGTCTAGGTCATCTACTTACACATGAAGTCAATGAATCTTACGGTTAAGATATAAAAAATGAAGCTCATTCCAACATGTAAAGTGTTTACTCCAAACCAACCATTTCTTTGGTATAAAATATAATACGGTACATGTATGAGAGATTGCACAAGGTTTTTTTCTCCCCTTAAATAATGAACATTTAAGTGATGATTGATGTAGTATGTTTGGATGTGTGCGTGCCATTGGCAGTACAAGTTTAATACATCTTTTCAAAGTTATACTAAACAGATTAAAATAAATACCAGAGAAAAAAAAATTACACTTCAATCAAGTGTGAGATGAAAATGCTATGTCATTGGCATTGTTCTAAACATGTTTCAATTTTACTTAATGCAATCCTTTAAAATGGTACCTTATATTTTCCACAGTAAGAAACATCATTGGCATTGGAATTTTGATTTGATGAAGGAATTTTCTCTACAACTCATCTAAAACTAAAACATTTACTTTTACACAGAAACCATGTGACCTAAGCACTCAGTTTTAAAAGATAATATATTAAAAATGTACTGCGCTGCAGTTTTCTTACCCAGCTTTATTCACAAATTTTCCCACAGAGAACCATCTCTCAAGATACCATTTTTGAAAGCACCCTTAAGAATCCGTCCAACATTAAACAAATGATGCTCCATAGAGTGCTTTTGAGGTAGATAAGGAACTATGGGATTTGGAATGTCGACTACTTCGGTGAAGGTAAATTGTCCTCACCAGACGTCGTAGAGTCTTTGGAGCTGAAGAAACAGGAGCAGCGCGACATGCTTCGTCACAGTTTATCAGAGACTCCTGTTCCTGTCCCAGATGCTGTCTGAGCAGGGGGCGTCTGGGGAGGGATACAAGATGGTGCTGGACCAGTAGCCGAATGTGGTGCGGAACTGCCCCGTAGACCTCGACTAGGAGCTGTACTCACATCTTGACTATGACCCATGACTGGGAATGACTTTGTTCTTTTAGCAGCATTCCTGGAATAATTAATGAACGGTCAATGCAGATCAATTGTAGATTGTGTTCTTACATTACACCTCAACTTCAACAACTTGTGAAAATAGGAGTGAGATATACATGTACTTTGTGCTTTCTATTCCATAAATACAGAGCTAAGCCGGAGCATCACTGAAACTAAGGTATTCCTAACATTCCCTCTCTCGTAGGGTGTAAACTTCTAGATCCCACCCATAGAGAAATAATGCTAGGAAATAAAGTGCTTCAATACACAAAGGAAAAAGAAACAAAAAGAGCAGAGAAAGACAAAACTCTCTTTCAAATAGACGATTGTTATTTTATCAGGGATTTACTCAGGTACTCAATGTGTTTAAGGTAACACTTCAAATATTTGAATCTTTATTATTTTATTTTTTGTAGCTATTTCCTCAGAATGCAATGCAATACCAACTAATTTGTGTCAAAACAATCACAAAGAACATTCCGTGTGATTAAACCTAAATATCAGGTTAATCTAGAGCTCTAGTCATAAATCCTCTTGTCCCAACGTGGGGTGCTCAGATAGAACAAAGCAGTGGGCGGTGCATAATATTCCACATTCCACTCATCAAAACATGCATCAACATGGATTCCATGATGGATATCAAGTCCCAATAATATAAAAATAGGTGTCAAATTTGCAATACATTACTTCTTTTCCAACAAAAGAATAAAAAATACTAATTGAATTGTTTAGAAACTTGACAAGTAAACAAAAGTGCAAAAACACTAAATAGTGGTGATTGGTTGACTGTCTTATCTAATGTGAATGTGTATTGCCATTAGGGAAAAATGAACAAAACTGAATAGATTAGGAAAATAAGCATATGACAGTATCACATTCAAAACACACCGTGCATTAGACAAAAAGGTTTAGATTGGTAAAAGTTTAGGTATTTTACAAGGACATTTTACCTCCATGAAGGTTGTAGCTATGATCAGTGACAAATACTGTTGTTTCAAATGTTAGTTGCATTTGTCACACAGCTTGAACTCAAGCCGGGTACATGCAGGAAGGGAGAACCTTAAGACTGGAGCCTGCACACCACAGAGAGGGGACTGTGACTCAAGAGACTTAAATCATTCAATTTTTAAAAAAAAACTCAATACTGTAAGACTGGTTTTCTGTTTGAACTTCACTTAGCATCTGTTTGCATAATGAAGTGGCCCTTGATCAATGTACATATATCAATCCTCTTGAAGTGGTAGTGTATGTAGTTATAAATAAAAAATGACATTCCAATTAGGGAAATTTCAATGTGATGTAAAAATTTTAACCAAGAGAAATTACTTATGTAAGTGATACATCAAAAATGCATAAGGGATTCAAATTTGTGAAAATAATGTAATTGACAATTTTGTCAATTTTGTTGAGTTATGTGGAATTTTAGAGTGAAACTATGATAATTTTGCTTAAGTATGTTGCGCTTTTGAATTTTATAAGCACTAGAGGTACCACAAAAAAAAGCAATCATGCAATTCTTAAACATTAACCTTTATATTAAATGAGTAATTACCAAAAAAATTATTGGAAAACATGTGGGGAACCAAATTTTCCCTTGATTTAGACATGGCTAATGTAAACTTTCCTCTTAATGTACAGATTGGTCCTACCAGGGGAACTTCCCACTGTGTCTTTGCTGTAAAAGAAAATGTTCATCAAGGAATGTCACCTTGTTTTATAACTCCACACACATGTGTGAATGAACAGCACACAAAAGTTGTGTCCTTTCAAAACAATTAGTAAGTTAGTTTTGTAAAACATGCAAACATACAATATTTAATTCTGTGATGAAATAAGTGAAGGTGTGCATTGCTGAATATCATTAGATTAGATTAAGATCAAAATGATTCGAGCCACTCCCTGAGATCTCCTTGGTTACTCAACCAAAACCAGGAATATGAGCAATAAGGAAAGTGGAAATGGTTCAACAATAAGAGAAGAGAGTCCAGTTTAAAGCACAGAAGCAAGCTGCAAATCAGAACGTTCTCTTCTCTCTTCAATGTCAAGCTATCTCATTTCCAAAAAGTTACATCGATGTTAGTATACATACCTTCTCCTTCTAAGGGATGCATTGTGTCCTGGTAGGCCAAAATATCCTCTGGGGATCACCATACGAGCATTTCCCTGGGCAGGGCGGGAGCCTCCTGGAGCTACAAGTTGGGCAAGATGAGCAGCATAGCCCTCAGAGAGAACAATGGCTTGAGACTGATGTTTCTTAGACACCTTCCCAATTATGTAAATTTGCTTTGGAATGGGGTCAAGAGATCTGTATACAGCAATGTCCTTGCTGCTTCCATAAGCAGAATGAATGAGAACATCATGTGCCTGCAAGAAGTAATCATTCAGTTAGTATCGAACCATCCATTTGGTTTAAAAAAGATTTACATGTTTACCTCTTGTAGAGCTTGTAAGTATGTAGTTTTGTGTCTAAGAGGATCAGTTGACAAACCATCAGCAAATGAAACCAACCCATGAGGAAAGTTGTGCTGAGAGAGCCACGACACAACTTTTTGCTGTTGCATATCTGGTCGCCCAGTTACATATATTATCAAATAACCCAATTCTTGCCAGTGTCTAGAAATTGAAAAGAAGAATTGCATTTAAATTGGTTATCGGGGATAAATGTTAAAGTCATAGAAATTTAGTTCACACTACCTGACAACATCAACAGCTCCAGCCCGAACTTTAGGGTCCCTTCCAGTTACTGACATACTTGCTGTAAAGGAACCATCTATGCTGAAGACTATACATTCAGTTTTGGGCGGAACAACAGCCATATAGAAATCTGCAGATGTGTGATCTCCTCTGCCAAAAATAAAAATAACAAATTGTTAGCGGTGTTGGTTTCAGAATTGCACACAGAGGAAATAAATAAGCCTACGGAGTTCAAACCTACCTCACAACCATTTTGATCGGGTAAATACCATAGCCCAAAGCCTTATCAGAAGGGATTGTATATGAAACTCGACCATTTTTGTCAGTCACTTCAGTAGATAGTAATTGCCATTCGCCAGCAGGAGCATCTTTCATAATGTGAATGTCAATCTTTTCTCCTGAAAATAAAATAGGAAGAATAAATAAGTAAATTTGCAATTGGCCTTGTCATCAAATTTAGATTTTTTTAAATAAAATAAAATGCTTACCATGTAGTGTTATCATATCAAGGGGACCATACATAAATCTTGCTAAAAGAGTTTGCGGTTTACCCTCCTTTACAATAACATCATTAGCTCGATGATTTGGTGAAACATTCTAAAGCAAAAGAAGCATGATAGTTGACTCAATCTATTTAACAAACAGAAGTTTCATATTGGTGACTTTGAATAATTGAACACATGTAACTCACCTTTAACTTCACAGATGTTCGTTTCCGAATCCATTTTTCACGGGGTTGATTGGGACTAAAAGCTACTAGATCTTTGTCATCATGACCTAGAGCTTGAAGAAGCTCAAAGCGTCCCAGCTGTCAACAATTTTATATTAATGTTAATGTATTATCAGGGTGTGTAGATAACAAATGTAGATGCCATTTAAGACATTTTATTACCTGCCGTAAGATGAAAGCAATAACATCTGATGATTCCCAGTAACTAGCATGAAAGAGATGTGGGAGTGCATTGGTAGGGAAGTTGGACAAGCCTTCTGGGCAGTATAAGGCATAGTCCAACCGTTTATTTCCCCACCATTTTTGAGTCACTGTACACAAGATGCAGTAAAAATAAGATATTTTCAACAGGAATTCACTAGCTGTAAACTGTTTTTAAAAAATATGCATTTCTTTAAATGAAAAATATATTTTTAGACATAGACTACAAGTATAAAGAAAATGTTATTAGAAGTGGAGGTAGATCACAGAAAAAGCAGGTCTACAGGTGGCACACAACAACACTCACAGGCATTGATGGTGTGAAGGGGTAGAGAGTCTATGACACCAGAGACAGTGCTTTGAATGCTGATTTCAGACATACGTCGCAAGTGAGAGGTAGGAGTAGCAACACTGAGACCATCTGAGAAAGTCTGCGGGTTCGCCTGGATGACTTCCACTTTATATGCGAGCGTGCAAATAAGAAACAATTCAAACATCTCAATTTTTTGTTTCAGAACAAATTTTGAGAAACAATCAATTTGACAAAACTTAAGCTTGTCATTGTCATGTCACTTAAGTGATTGCATTACCCTTTGTTAAATAATATACAGTTGTAGTGAGATGTAATAAACAATACAAACTCAAAAGGGGACAAATAGACACATGTACAATAAATAGATGAAAGCAATCAGTGGTGAAGAAATTTATAAGACTAGACACTAGGCTTAATTTGTTCAAACAAAGAACCACAAATGTTTCTGAAGAGATGAGTCCTACCATGCTTTAGTACGTCAAAGCTAGTTAGTACTTGGAAGGACAGTATAGAAAGGAATCAAGAAAAGAATACTCTTGATGTCGAGCTGTATTAAAAATTATTTGTTTGTAATTACTTACACAAGTGGTATGGTTGACCATTTCCAAGGGGATACTTTTGATATCGAGGAATGTTGATTGGAGGTAACATAGAGAACCGAGCAGAGAGTAGTGGTTCAATGCGAGCTGCTACTGGGTCAGTTGGGTGAAACAGGTTGTACACTTGTTGAACACATGGACGAGATATGGGAGCTGCAAAAAGACAAAAATGGATTTTAGCACTGGGACTCAAGTAGTTCAAATATTCCAGAATGTCAGTGAAAAGGTTTACCATTCTTTTCCTCTGCAACTGATATTTTTCGGTATGCCAAAACAAGTGCCAAAGGACTCCCAAACATGAATAATTCACTCACTTCAAACTCAAGTTTTATTTGGTGAGCATGATCACTGCAAAAGACACAACAAAGCATTAACATCTTTTTTAGTGACAAAAACAAGTGAAGGTGAGTTTAAAGGATTGGTTTTCACCTTGTAGATGATGATCTTCGTCTGTTTCCACTCGGAGCACTGAGCAGTCGGCTTGCTGACAGATAGGTTTCATCTCCAATATCACAGTGGCTACGATGCAGCTCATGGTCCTCTAAAAGAGAGGATGAGAAAAAAAATAAGCAATATTGGTATCATACCTCATACAGAGAACAAAGATCTGGAATTAAATTAGTCCTACCTCCACTTCGCTGTTCTATATCATTATCCAAGTCTTGCCTTGATCCTGAGCGGCATAATGCATCATACGCAAGGACAGAACCCATTGAATCCCCTTAATTTTTTTAAAAAGAGAATAAAACATATGAGCATTAGAAAAATATTGTTTTGAACATAATGCACTTAAACTTCAATTTTCTACAAGAAAAATCAATCTCACCAATAATGCAAATTTGTCCACTAAAACCAAGACCCTCCTCTGACTTCAAAAACTCATGATAAGTGCTATTGGCATTGGTGACAGCTCTAGAAACTGCATCTTGATACTCTGCTGCATTGGCAGTTGCCAACAAAGGTATGGAACCAATTGGAATAGAATCATGCGTAACTTGTGGAGCATCCAGACAAGATGGAGAGACATCAAAACTGTATGGGTTAAGACTGAGGGACAGAGGAAAAAAAATTAATATGCATGCGGGCATGAAAATTAAACGGTTCAAAAAGTGTTAGAGAAAAGTTATTTTTAGCACCAAGAAGCTTACCTAGATAAAATACCAAGACCCTCTGTGCACACAGATGGGCAGCTGACTAACTTAATGGCTACATGGCCCACCATTGATGGATAATGCTGTCGCATAACACATTCAAATGAGCCTCTAAACGTTGTGATGTCAGATTTCTTAGCAGGAAGCTCTGTATTAGCATCTGCAATAAAATTTTCATAAGTTATAAATATGTTTGTAAAATTTTGTAGCAAGAGATATTTGGAAAGTAAGTACTATTAAGAAAGTAGGTGATATACTAGGAAAGAGGTTTACCCAATACACTGCCAGCATGCATCACCAGAAGAAGGACGGATGTAGGACATGATGGCTGCTGCCCAGTTACAAGAGACATGGTTGGCGACCCAGGACATGATAATGCATCAACTTCGATGCTGCTGCGTCCTGCATAATGTAGCATTCTTCCCCGTCCACCTGCTTTTGTCCGCTCACTGACAACTCTTTGAAGGTACGTGTGAGAAAATATGCTATCTGTAATAAAATTTATTAGATGAGTAAATTTATGTTTCTATCAGTACTATGTGTATATAGGTATATAAAGAACAGGTATATATTGTAGTTACCATTTTTATCTCGAGTGTTGGATGCAGTGGGTCCTTCAGTATTTTCTTCATTCAAAAGTTCTAAAGAACTCCATTTTGCAAGGGCCTCAACCTCAGCATCTTCGGATATAGAATGTGAACCTATAAGAGAATAAAAGGGAGAAAAAATGTTTAATTGAGATGGAAAGTCTAGCAAATTTTAGAATATGCAGAAACGCTCAAGGAGTTAAATATTACATAAAGTGCAAAACAATAACTGTTTCTCACAATCTTGTACTGACAACTAAATTACTAAATGGATGTATTCTATGCTAAATTGCTTCCATTACTTCAAGGCAAACAGAAAACAATGCACACACTTTGTCTTGGTACAAGATGAAAATTTATGTTGCAACACTCTTTGAAATATTCCGTGTGTCACACTAAGGTAAGGAAACAGTGGTTGATAAATTTCTAGATCACTCAAACTAGTGGTGTAGGATTGGTGTAAAGGCAAAAGTTAGAAGTTAACGCTTCTCCTGGATCGTTGGATGATACACACAACAAGCAATGTTGTTAGCGGGTGTTTTTGAGATGACTAGCTATAGCGCAATTATTTATAATTTGTAGGCTATAAGAAGAATGAATAGAAAAAAATGCTCTATCAACAATCAATCAAGTCATTCAGATGCATGAATGGTCTTAAGCAAAACTGTAGAGTGCTTGAAAGCATTTTGTGATGAAATAATTCAATGGTCTAAGAAATCTCTTTTAATAACAATTATACCAGCACTATTCTTATACCTACCCTTTATTACCGGGATAACAAACCGCACGCCAACTGTATTTTTTAATATATTTTTTTGTAATATAGCCCCAAATTTCCAGAGTGAAGTGAAAATGAAAAAGAATGCATGAGGTGGGATAGAAATATGATAGCCATTTTAAGTTGAACAGTCACAGCAAGATTATTGACATAAGGACTGATTTTAGGGATGATAAAGTTGCTAGTATAACAAAGAACAGATCAGCTTCAACTGTATAACATGCACAGTACTGCCTACAAATTAAATTGAATATGTTTCTTATTTTGGGGAGAGTAATTCATGCAATAGTAACTAAAATATACACAGACATGAAAAGTTCTTTGCAAATGTAGCAACAATTTTAAGAACATGTACCGTGAGAATGAGAGAAGAGGCTGCACCATATTCTCACAGTACAACAATTCGTGACAAGCTTGAACAAACAAACACAGAAAAAACATTGTTCAGCTTACCTTGGCAGTCAAAATATTCGTCATCACTATCAGAATCCGAGTCGCGTACAATACTCTGCATGCGCCATGAGGCGGTCTCACTACCCATCCAGACCTTTTGCCTCGAGTCCGTAACATCTAGTCGTGCCCTTTAAGAAAAGTATTATAGATTGTAAAACATACAAAGGTTAAAGATACAATAAATATGTTTGGTAAGTTCTTTTGATAACAAGCATACTTGGTAGGAGAATCATCTTCATCTGAACTGCATGTAGCTGCTGGAATATCTGTTGTACGCTCTGTTTTTTTCTTCACACACATTGGGGTAGTTACCTGATCCTGATCATTCTTCTCAATGCTACCTAGTGTGGCTGCAAGAGTTTTTTGAGCAGATGATGATGATTCCTGGAAGAAAAGGCAATTGGAGTTATTTATTTTGTTTTTTTCTTTTCAGCCATTTACCTTTGGAAAAAAAATCAGCTGTACAAACTTACGGAAGGAGTAGCTGTGCCACTACCCTGAGGAGCACCGGCAGAGGCCGATGCAAGATTTGCCTCCTGACTTGGAGAATCAGTGAGAGCATTTTGTCCATCTTGTGCCATAGTTCGTTTAAGTAATTCCTGAGTTTCACGCTCTATGTTTCTAATATCTTCCATAGTCAATCCTACCCACTCATCTTGCCAAACCCATGCTTGAATATGTGCTCTTAACATAGTTTTTCTTAAGGCTGGAAGATAATTTTTAGGGGATGTATTTCAGGTACAAAATTAATCAAAAATGTATGCAAGAGTTCAAGTTTATAAGAGCATGGGTCCCCAGTATCAGAAGCACTAGCCAGTGAAAAAATAAATAAAATAGAACTACATCAACAATCTGCGAGTGAGGAAGGGCAAATGACTACAAAGTGGCAAGTGGATCACTAAACTGGGGCCCTGCATTCATTGATTGAAGTATGGAATAACTCACCAACATCATGGATGAATTTTTCTAATTTTGTCTGCATGCCCCAGTACCGGAATTCAACTCGACATAACTTATAGGCGCACATGAGAGCCTTGCCACTTGAGGTAGGCATCTTTTTGCTCTATATACATGACAAAAGAAGATTTATATTAATGGCAAGGAATGAAATGCACTATTTCTTTGTGCCTCAAAACAAAAAAATGAATAGAAAATCAGCTCACCTTACACTCAGTCCAATACTCCTCTAACCAATTCTCAGTGAGAGGTCCTCGGCCCGTCTTCTCTGATACATATTGTTTTGGATCTTCTTGGGGCACATATTCAATTTGATCTCGCACAACATCAATGACATCTGAGAAGATTTATTATTATGAAACATAATCTTACTTTTTAACAAGAGATTAATTCCACATTTAACTAATCACTCACCAACGATACGATTTCGGAGGTCACTTCCTTTCAGCTCAAACACATTTTCTTGGTAACCATTATCTGGAAAGTATCTAGTTTCAATTTCCAGAGAAAACTTTTCAACAAATGGGCAGGTGTAACGAGTCTTTGTATATGGGTAAGCATTCCAGGCCTCCTCCTCCACAGTGAGGGCAGATTTTGGGAGGAGGCTTTTGAACCACCCTGGCAAATGGCTGCCAACATGATACACTTTGTGGGTATACTGGCCGTTTCCCCCGGGTCCTCCCTCATAGGGTTCATTCACCAGGATCTCAACACCGCTTCCTGTACCTTTACTCTCATCTCTGCTCTTTTTCTGTGGTGGAAGAAACAGAAAAAAAGGAGCGTAAAATCAGAAGCCCGCCATCAAAGGAGACCAACCCGCACAGAGTTTCGCCGCTCACCGCTATCATGTAGAGCTGCGCGATGCGGTACTCGTCCACCGTGAGCGGCAGCGGGATGCGGTACTCCTTGATGAGCATGGTGACGGTGGGCCGGTGCGGACGGGACGCACAAGGCCCTCAGCGCGGGGCGAGCGGCGGGGGGCGCCGGGTGGGGCGGTGGTGGGCTGCAGCTGCAGCTAGCCCCCGGCGGCCACGGCCAAGCTCGTGGTGCGGTGTTACGCCATGCTCCTGCTGCCCCTGAAACACAAAACCAAATACATTAGCCACTCGAAGCATCTCGCCTAGGAGCGGGCGTCCGTTCGAATGAGAGCCACCACCGCTCCACCCGCAGCCCTGCTCCGGTTTGCCTTGATGAGGACCTCGCTTCGCCCTCCTGCCACCAGGACAGGTGGAAAATGGTTTGGGAGAGGTTTGAGCAAAGGTACACATAGGACACATAGTACACATGGGAGCCCCGGGCGCCGGGTGGCCCACGGGTGGCCGACGGCGAAGCGGGCCCGGGCCACTAGCATTGTATGACCCGCGCAAACATTTGCCCGGGCGGTAAGCAGGCGGCTCACCGCACTAGTCAAGGGGGCACAGAACACCTCCTCCGCCCCCCGCGAGACCGTTGAAAGGGCACCCCATCGCAAAACAATGCAATTACACTCCTATTTTGAAAAAGACACAATGAGGTAATGTCGGGTAATGTGGAATATACACACATTTCTTTTCACACTGAAGGGACTTTACAAACGACCGACGCGGTGTCCGCGACGACCCCACCGCCGTTGCCGCCAGGGCCGATCTCATTGTCCGTCGCTGACTGAAAGGCCAGACGTAGTTGACTCGCTCTTGTGCCTGACCTTTGGACACGTCGGGGCTCCATGGCCGCAGTCCGACAGAGCTAAGAGGGCCCATAGTGCCAGTAGCCCGAGGGTGCGCCTGCGGCCCTGCGGCTGCTGTGGAGTGTGGAGGGCAGGGGCAGGCCCGGGCAGGCCAAGGCAGGGCGAGGACAGAGCGCCTGGCAGGCTGGGCCGTCCCGTCGAGCACAGGCGCGCGGCGGGCCGGCCTACCTCCCAGGCGGCGTCAGCTGAGCCACGCTGAGCCGGGGCGGCGGCCACCTCGAGGGGTCCACGGCATGTTCACGGTTCAAGCGGAAAACGGAGCAAACACTGCCATTCAATATTCCCGTGGATATTCACTTACTATATTCTTAAATAAAATTGTATACCATTCAATGGCAGTTCACCTCGTGTTCACGAGTATTCAACTTTTTGAACATGGTGCACGAACAT